TTGGCATTTGAGCCATGGCTCCAAGGAAAGGGATGTTGAGGTGGAGGTTGGGAGCATTTCCATGAAACCTCCACACTCGTTCTCCAACCTCTCCTGGTACATCCTTGTGGGATAAGGAAGAGGTGGTGTGTATCCATCCTCCAACAATGCCTTCCTTGCCGCCTTCCTCTCATTCCTCGAGGGCTTCCCTTCTCCCTTCTTTGGGTTGGTCTCTTACTTGTTGGTATCTTCCTTCACCCTCACTTCATTAGTGGCGACTTCCGGAACCACCTTCACACTCCTCACTTGAAGTGCATTTTACCCCGGCATGGTCCTTGGGGTTCGCCACGGTTTGTGAAGGTAAAGCTCCCTTGGGTCTCTCGGTGAGGATGCCGACAAGGTTGCCGATTTGCACCTCCAAGCTTTGGAGGCTAGCTTAATGGCTTCGGAGACCCGCCTCAATTGAGTTAAACTTGGTAGTCGCCACATCCATAAATTGCTCTATCTTCTCGAACTTTTGGCTACTCGTACTCACAAAGGTGTTCACTAGGTCTTCAAGCTTAGATAGCTTGTCGAGTTGTTGTTGAAACCCTTGGCCACCTTGTGCTTAGTACGGTTGTTGGAAGCTCGAGCCTTGAACTTGAGGCCTTTGTTGGATGAAGGTCGGTCGAGGTTGGAAATTCCCCGTGGGGCCTTGAAAACCCAGGGGCCTCGGATTTGTCGACGATGCCCAAGAAAAGTTGGGGTGGTTCCTCCATCCGGGGTTATAAGTATTTCTATATGGGTTGTTGACCCTAGCATTTGACACGAAGTTGACTTGCTCCTCCGGAGTGGTTGCCTCCTTCATTGCTTGACACTCTGCCATTTCATGACTGGTGCTCGAGCACTAGTCACACGACATCACCGACCTTTTTCCTTGCCTCTTATCTTTAATCATAACCTCAAGCAACTTATCTAACTTCGCCTCAAGCGGATCACTCGCCCCGACACTCCTCACTCCCCTATCATTCCTTCTTGTTCCGCTTCTATTCAACCCCCAATCGTATCCCCTAAGGGCCATGTCTTCAAGTATCTCGGTTATTTTGGTTGGAGCCATATTCATCAATTTCCCTTGACACAAGGAGTCAATGAGAATTTTATCTTCTTGCATTAGGGATCCGTAGAAGGTTTCGATCCGAAACTTTTCTTCAAACCTATGGTGAGGACACTGAAGAAAGTAATCGGAGTACCTCTCACAAGCATCCCTCACAGTCTCGTCATCTTCTTGCTCGAAATGGGTAATATTCTTTCTCCACTCCGCCATCTTCGAAGACGAGCAATAACGAGCCATAAACTTGTTGAGGAGGTCATCCCAGGAGGTGAATGACCGAGGTGAGCAGTTGTTTAGCCACCTAAGTGCTTTCCCCGAGAATGAGTATGGGAAAAGCCTTAGTTGCAAAGCTTTGGCTGGCACACCATTAATTTTCAAGCTCCCCGCGAGCTCCAAGAATCTATGCACGTGCTCTCTTGGTGACTCACTCTCAAGGCCGTGGAATAGAGCATTACTTTGTATCATTGTCATTAGAGCCGACTTGATCTCAAAATTGTTTGCTGCCACTGGAGGATGTAGGATTGGCGATTGAATGTCCGCCGACCTTGGGGCCATATAGTACCCCATCGTCCTCGGGGCATCCTCGTCCTCCGACGCATCGTTCAACTGGCAGGCTTGAGTGCCATCTTGCCTTTGGTTCCCCTGTCATTACTACTACAACGACGGGTTCAACTTCCACTTCTTCAACTTCTTCTCCACTAACACCGGGACCCAAACGTTGTCCCCCTCTTTTAATTCTTCCCCTTGCCTCTGCTAGCTCTCTCTCCCGTGCTAGGAGCCGGAGAGTTCGGTTTATGTCCTTGTCAAGTGGTAACAAAGGTGTCGGGTTGCTCCGGGTCATGCACCACCTACACACAATCGAAAAACACACCAAGTCTAGCACAAGCAAAGCACACACACTTGCAAAACTGGAAATTAAAAGCTAGATTAACAATCGACAACTTTTTCAATATAACAAACCGTTGTTCCCCGGCAACGACGCCAAAAACTTGACTAACACAAAACTACACCACAATATAATCCCGACTAGAGTCCAAGTTTTAAAACTCTAGCCGGGTGCAGTATAGAGCAAGTATTTAAATATCAACCCGGGCCGGTCCGTCTACCCCTACTTCAGTCGTTTTAATCATTATCTAGCAACAAAGTTTTGGTTTAAGAGTTTGCTAATTATAATGAAATAAGGCAAAGGTAAATGGTTTTGAAAACTCTTTTGTGGAAGGATAACTCTGGTGTCGCTTCCCCCTAATTACTACCATGATATGAGAATTGGAACGAGCACTTTGGGCAAGGTAACCGCTAATCGGAGAGGGATGCATATATTATCGGAGACCATTATCTCAATTGCTAAACTGAGGTAAATGTTATAGGCCGTGTCACTCGACCCTCTCGGTTTAGGAAATCGCTAGTTGACATACTCCCTCACTCAACTCAAAGGTCGGACGGCTTAATCGCAATTATCCGAGTTGCTTAATTCAACATTGAGGGTTGCCCAAAATTAACCTAGTTAGGTGGCTTAAAAAGCTGAAGGAAAACCAACTCGATTAAGTCTCCCTTGGATGGGGGATTTTCTTCTCTAAGCTAGGTTAAGGTGACTAATTAGATTGCTAGCACGAACATGCCCAAACCGAAGGGTGCTAAGCACAATTATGCACAATCCTTAGGTTGCTAAGCACCAAAATGCACAAACCTAAGGATGCTAAGCACATAACATGCACAACCCTTAGGTTGCTAAGCACATGCATGCACAATCAACATGAATAATACCTAAATCATTGAATTAACCAATACCCAATGACAATCATTCAATTCACATAAAAGAAACTATATGGTAGAGTTAGGATTTCACAACACCCAAGTGAAAGGAGATCCACTCCATGCTAGAAATGGGGAAAACACAAGGAGAAGAGGTGGAAACCATCTTGGAGGATGCTCCCAATCTTCTTGGCCCTTGTGTTGAAATTTCCTTGGAGGAAATATTCCCAAAATCCACCTTGAAGAAAAACCCTAGCCTTCTTCTCCTTTGGTTCGTGTTTCTCTCTCTAGAAACCTGAAGAAGGGTTTTCACACAAAATTAGCTCTCCCTCCTTTCAGCTCATCTTTTAAAACAGAGACGAGCTTAGTTCACGGCCTGAGTTCACGGTCGTGAACCATGAAACACGTCCGTGAACTGCACGCGTGTGCCAAAACGCACCACTTCATTCACTTCTGTTCATGGTCAACAGCCTCCGTTCACGGTCTTAGTGACCGTGAACTCACATTGCGTCAGTAACCTCTGTTTTGGCTCTGGACGCCTCGAGGTTCACGACCAAGGGCTCTTCTTCACGGTCGTGCAAGACCGTGAACTTCCTGGGATAGCCGTGAACTGGCCCTTTTCCACCTCTTTTCCCGGTTTCCGATCCTTTTCGTCCAACTTTCGACTCCGAGGCTGGCTTCACCTGTTAAACCCTGAAACACACTAAAACACGAGAAACCTAGCGTAAAACCAACCTCTTAGGAGTGAATTTGCCACAAACACCTAAGTAAAACGGGGGCAAAACATGTACAATTAGGCCCGAATCACTCAGGCAAGGGTGTCCATTCTGTTAAAGCTTGACCATGACCTCTAGAATAGAGGATTTCTGAGCTAATTAAGGCAGTAGACCATAATGGATGATTAGGTGCAGGCACGAGCTTGTCTCGGGCTATGTATATGTTAGTGTTGTGAGAGCACAAATCACATGGTGGAGGATTGTCAGGCAATAAGGGAATCCAACACGCCTTAGGAATAGTTGGATTTCATCAGAACCTCCAAGCACATAGAACCTTACAGCAACACGTATGACGAGGGGTGGCGTTAGCATCCAAAATTTTCCTCGGCTCCAAGCCACCTGGTTTTAGAGACCCTGCTCTAGGATATCAACCGAGGTGGTCGTACCAACCTCCTCAGAGCAAGTTCTTTCAGCCTTAGTTGCCACAATATTATCAGCCACAGTACCAGCCCTAGAGAGCAGGAGCACCAGCTCTAGGGATGGCAAACCAGATCCGACCCGGTGGATTTTATCCGATCTGAGCTGTCATGGAGCGGATAAAATCCGGCCCGTTTTTGAACAGGGCGGATCTCGACCCGCTCCGCCATTAGAACGGGGTGGATACGGATGCAAACTTCTTACCTGCTCCGCCCTGCTCTGCCCGCTCTGCCCCGTTGATTAAGCATCTGTCGCCAAAACATCTTCCCGCAGAGGCTTATCTCCGCGAAGCACCCAATCCCAGGCACCCAACAGCTAGTGTCTAGTGAACGATTAATATTCCCACAGAGGTCTTCGCAAAACTCAATCCCACCGCAGTTCCGCACTCAACCCCTTTAACGATTCATCTCCTTCCCCAATTCCCAATCCCCCTCCCCCAATTCCCAACTCTGCTTTATCGAGCATTGAATTGAAGATGAAGGGCTCTCATATAAGTTCAACTTACGCCCTTCTTTTTCTTCATCTTCTCTATTTTCTTCTTCTTCTTCTTCTTCCGAGATTTGCAGCGCCATTGGAAGGGGAGTAGAAGAAAGAAAGGAAAGCTCACATATTTCCATTTTCTAGCAAGGAGGTCAACAACAATATTACAGTGGTGAGGTAAATATCAATCCCTATTGGGCTATTGGCATAGTTTTCTTTGCTCTATTTCGATTGATTATTATGGTGAGTTTTCTGCTGGTTGCTGCAAAATTATGGGGAGTTTTGTTTGGTCTAATTCATTGGCGGGGAGAAGTTGTTGATCATTTCACTCTTAAGGCATTGCTTGCAATTTGTCTCTCCCGAAAATCATAGATTGGAGTTGTAGTTTATGACAATGAAATTGCTTGCGGTTAATTAAATCAATTCGTTGTAAAATTGCTTGAGCCACTTTTTTTGCTGTGTTCAAGCATTCAATTTCATATACAGAGTTTGCTGTCTTATTTATCTACTTATGCAAAATTAAAATAATCATATTAGCTAATTGAACCTCGTTCATCTTGCAATTAGGAATGGACAAGGAGGGACCTCAAACAGTACAGGACATGGAGGGGCCTCAAATTGAGTCTGATGTTCTGAATGTGGAGGCAACAGCTTCCCAACCTCAACCAGATCCGCCTCAAGGCCCTCAACCTGATGTTGTTCATGTTGTTGCTGAAGCCCCACCTGCAACTGATGAGAAAGAGAAGCGCAAGGGTCCTACGTCTGGTATGGTGTTCTCACAGTGGTGGAAACATTATAATAAGTTAACAGTTGATGGCAAACCAAAAGCAGAGTGCAAATATTGTAAGAAGAAGCTTGTTGGAGAGCCATCCCAAGGAACACTCATTTGAAGAATCATTATCACCGATGTCCTAAAGTGAAGCGGTCTGGAGATATAAAACAACAACTCTTGCAAGGAAATTTGAATAAGGACAAATTCCAGTTGACGCCGTTCAACTTTAGTCAAGAGAACTCTCGAAAAGAACTGGCTAAGGCGATTATAAGGCATGAGTATCCTCTCTCGATTGTGGAGCATGAAGGTTTTAGGAGTTACAGCATGAGTTTGAATCCATGCTTTAAGATGGTGTGCAGAAACACCATAAAAAAGGACTGTCTTGGCATTTACGATGTTGAAAAACAAGCTGCAATGGAGTTCTTGCGGAAGAATGAAGGTCGAGTGGCAATAACCACAGATATGTGGACATCTTCTCAGAAGAAGGGTTTCATGGCAGTGACCGCACACTACATCGATAATAATTGGACTTTGCAAAGTCGAATCATCAGGTACTTTTTGTATCCATTCACATGTTATAGTCTGTGATTACTTGGTTGGTGTTTTCCTTTATTACAGTTTGTTATGATTCATGACTTTGATGTGTTTCAAACTCTCATTCATGGTTTTTTCTGGTTTACTTTGTGTTTGAGTAGTGCGCTGTCTGGAGGTGCTTTTGTGCTCTTGAGTATAATAGAACAAATTTCATCCCTGCTGGACTTTTTCCGCCCTTGTGAAGTTACTGACCATTTCACTTTTTCAATTTTTAGGCTTTGTGGACCTTTTTTTACAAGTTCTGTTTATACAATCTGTAGAATCCTTTCATATTTTTCATGATAATAGCACTGGTTCCCTTTTCCCATGATAACAGAACAAGTTCCCTTTTCCCACCAATGACTACAATTAACAGATTATTAAATGACTATTATATCATGTTATCATGCATTACACTATGATGTTTAATTGGAGTATGATAGTATATTGCCAATCTGTCATATTGATAAGTTTAATTAAGTCGTGCTATCTGTGATTGTGCAGGTTCATTTATGTACCTGCTCCGCACACAAGTGAAGTTCTTTGTGAAAATCTGTTCGATTGTTTGGTGAATTGGAATCTCGATCATAGATTATCAGCTGTCACAGTTGATAACTGCTCGACGAATGATGCAATGATGAGTCGACTGATGGAGAAGCTTCCTCTAGAGTCTCTTTTGGACAATGGAAGTATGATTCATATGAGGTGCTGTGCACACATATTGAATCTGATTGTCAAGGAAGGTCTTAAGGTGATTGGAGATGGAATAGACAGAATCAGAGAGAGTGTTCATTTCTGGCTGGCCACACCAAAGAGATGGGAGAAGTTTGTCGAGACTACTCACCAGCTTAAGGCTGCACGCATAATTCGTAATCAAAATGGTAAGAAGCTTGTACTTGACTGTGACACTAGATGGAATTCAACTTATTTGATGTTGAATACTGCTTTGGGGTATAAGGAAGTTTTTAATCGTTTAAAGATTCGAGAGTCAAAGTACAAATGCTTGCCTACTGAGCGTGACTGGAAATTGACAGAAGAGATTTGCAGTAGGTTAAAGAAGTTTTATAGTGCTACTGAACTTTTTTCTGGCACTAAATATCCGACTGCCAACTTATGTTTTGAAGTAGTTTGTGAGATTAAGCTCGCTCTACGGCAGTGGTGTGTTTGTGGAACTGAAACCATTGAAACTATGGCCATAAATATGTTGGAAAAGTTTGACAAGTATTGGCATGAGGTGCATTCTTTAATGGGGGTAGCAGCTATACTTGATCCAAGGTATAAAACTGAAGTAATGGATTGCTACTTTCCTGAGATTTATGGTGAGGAATGTGAGACGGAGATAGAGAGGCTTGTTGGTATATGTCGTAAGTTAGTTGAAGACTATGAAGAGAAGGAAAGAGAGCAAGAAAACATAAATGATGTGGTTCAAGTAAGCAGTTTGGGAGCTGCTGCAGGTCAGAGGGAAACAACAAGCAAATTTGCTCTATATACTTCTAGAAGGAAAAGGAAGCCTACTAGGTCAGAGCTGGACTCTTACTTGGAAGATGCAATCATACCCCCACACCTGATTTCGATGTTTTGTGTTGGTGGAAGTCAAATAGACATAAATATAATATATTGCATAAGGTTGCAAGGGATGTTTTGGCTATTCCTGTCTCTACTGTGGCCTCCGAGTCTGCTTTTAGTGCTAGTGGAAGGGTGATATCTTCTCATCAAAGTAGGCTGAGTCCAGAAACCATAGAATGGTTGATGTGTGCTCATAGTTGGCTTCGTGCTAGTTCCCAAGGTAATCACTATCAAAATGATGCTTATATTCGAACGTTGCTGCTTTCCAAGGGTGATATTTTTCTAATTGTTTGTGTTTGAATGCAGCTGGTTCCACTGCAGGGAAGGTCTCACAAGGTACCGTGCTTGAGGATTCTGATGGAGAGACAGACTATGATCCTTAGGTATTGATTCAATGATAATTTTTGGACTTTTATTTGGATTTTTGTTTGGATTTTAAGTAGTTACAATTGCAGCAGCTCTTGAAAATATCAATTTCCTTGTTATGGTTCCAGAGTTATTCAATAGCTCTTGAATGATTAGTGTTTGGCTTGCAACAAATGTCAATTTAGTTTAGCTATGGTTCCACAAGCTAATAGTACTATGGGGCTTGATGAATGATGAATTATGATATGAGAAGCTTATAGTGAATGATGATATTGTCAATTTGCAGCTTGCTAGTTGTTGCTGTGTTGCATGGCAATTTTCAGTTTGCTGGCTACTGTTGTGATGCACTACAGGCTTAATATAAAATCAAAGTCAGGGGAGAGGTTCGAGAGGAGATGTTTGCTGTTCTGGAGACTAAAGGAAGGCTTACTGGCTGCTGTTGTGCCGCATGATATTTGGAGTTTCCAGATTCTGCAGTTGATATGCTTAATGCTTCCATTATTTTCTTTTGAACTCTTATGGTTTATGCAAACTCTTTTTGGATTAGGATTTCAGTTCCTAGAGGAGGTTTGAGTGTTTCTTTTGGATGATGGGAAATTGGATATTTTGTGAGGTTTGCTTTGTTGTTATTGGATTTTCGTAGTTGGAATGTTGAAACGGGAATACATTTTATGAGTTGTGGATGTTATTTAGTGGTTGAAGTTTCTTTATGACTAATTTGTTATACAGCCTCCTGTATGATGAATGAAGAATAATGTTGACATGATTACAGGTTAGAGATAAAAAAGGGGTGGGGTGGGTATATGTTGAATGACAATGTATTATAGGTTGAACTGAAACTGGGGCAGGGCGGGTAAAATCCGCCCCGTGCGGGGCTTAACATGGGTCAGAAAACAGTGACCCGTCGCGGATCGCGGGGCAGGGCGGGGCGATGAGTTAGATCGTGGGGCAGAGCACGGGTTTAGGGGTACCCGCCCCAAACTTGACCCGTTGCCATCCCTAACCAGCTCAACCTCAGCTGGATAAGATGTCCAAGGTGGACGATGTAGTGAATAGCTTCGAGAACACTAGTGTCAAGAAGTTCATTATGATGGACTAGTTCATAGAACTGATAGTGGTGAAATTCAAGGATCTCGAAGTAGGTCAATGAAATTAGTAGGCTATATTGCACGATCTCCAAACTGAGATTAGGAATGAGGTCCAGTCTGTGACACCATTTCGAATCACAAAGATCCACCATCCCACTACAAGGCCATAATCCTCCAGAGTGGGAAGAAGACTGCTCGTATCCCCGCTCCAGCTACCCTAGAGGTTGAGCAGTGAGCAGTAGCAACTCATGATATTGAAGAAGAATCAGAGAAGGAGGATGAGGTGTGTGATCCTAAAACACAACCAGTGGTTAAGGAGTTTCTTTCTCAACTTTCCTTCCCCACTCTCCTACACAAGGACGGGATGGAGACTGAGTTTTCCAAATTAATGGCACTACTGAAGTAGGTGAACATCAGCCTGCCATTCATGGAGATGGAGGCACTATCAAAGATGCCCAAGTATGCAAAATTTGTGAGGATCTCCTCGCCAACAAAACAAATCTTGTGGACCTGTCGATAGTGATTCTAAATGAAGAATGTTTTGCCATCACGCATAACAGGCTACCAAAGAGGAGAAAAGACCTAGGGAGTTCCACTATCCCTTGCATTATTGGTAGCATGTATGTAGAAAATTCATTGGTGGACTTAAGCGCTAGCATAATTGTAATGACATATAAATTGTTTAAGAAGCTAAGCATAAGTGAACCCAGTATTACTAGGATGAGCATACAACTGGATGATTGTTATAATGTGCATCCTAGGGGTATTACAAAAGATTTCTTGTCATAGTCGAGCCATTCGTATATCCTGTTGATTTTGCGACACCTGATATAGATGTGGATGTGGATGTGCCTTTGATTTTAGGCATTGATAGATATGAATGATTGCAAGTTGATTTGCAGGTTGGGGGTGAACAAGTTACATTTTATGCTGGCGATAATCTAAAGCATTCCCATTTGCATGATGATCTTGACTATTGTTATGTGATTGCTGATTTTGAGACCACACTCCCCATCACGATTGCGGGCACTGATGATCCCTCTTGAGCGTTGCCTTTTGGTAGGGAAACATGCTTCACAGCAGCCGTAGCTGGAGGAGCAGTTGGAAACATTAGAAGGAGGTGTGTTCGAAGTGCGCAAAAAGTCATTCAAGCCGATACCCCATTCGCCGCGGATCACCACATCTCTAGAGGAACCACCAGAGCAGGAGTTTAAGCCCCTCCGCGATCAGCTGGAGTATGCATTTCTGGGAAAAGTTCGCAAGCTTCTAGTGATCATTAGCTTCCCTGAGTAGAAGGGTAGCCTAGTAGCCCCATTGCAAAAACCTTAGCGTGCCATGGCTTGAAAGATCACAGATATCAGGGGATCATCCCCTAATTTTTCTAAAACATGATCATGATGGAGGATGAGCTCGATTCATGTGTTTTGATCCATGGGAAACAGAGATTCTACTTTGAAGTGCTCAGCCACGTCGGGTGGAGCACGCAGCACAAACAAAAATTCATCTAGCCCTTTTTTCCTTCACCAATCAGATAGAACTAGACATCTTCGCGTGTGTAGCCTTCACACCTTCAAATTATGGCTAATAGGTACTTGAGATGATCGAATCCTTAGTTACCA